ACTCCCCTACTAGTGGGTAGAAAGGAAATAATGAAGACAATGCAAAAGTATTTCAGTATTTAGTGTACGAGCTAACACAAAGAACTAACTTGGGATTTAAATAAATAAATAAATAAACGCTGCTGGTTTCACCATTCTATGATCATGAGTTCATTTGCTGAAAACAATTTTAAATCATGGTTTCCTTTGCCTCCCCTATAAAAATAGCGCTAGTCCAAAAGTTTGGGCAGCAGGGGTCTGGGGCCAGCTGCTAAACCAAAGGTATGACTTCAGGGAAAGACTTTTCCCTTTCTCAGCCTTATTTTCCTTATCTATAAAATGAGTTTATCGGGCCAGATGATGGGGTCCCAGTCTCCGATGAGTACGGGGCCGAAGAGGTGATGTGGAAGATAAGGAAGCAGGTCAGCATTTGCCTTGTGAGAATCTGAAGCCAGTACTGTGAGGTCTTCTGGTTCTTTTCAAGAGTCCACAAAGCTGGATTTTTATATGAGATTTCCGCTAAACAGCACTCAGGCCAAATAAAACATAACTAAAGGCCAAATTTAGCCCAAGGGCTTGCTTTCTGCAGCTTCTAGAACCAGATGCTTCTAAAGCCCCTTGTATCTCAGACACTCTCTGATTCTGCATTAAGACAGCCTGATTTCCCTTGCTTAACAGTGACTTCAAAGTTCCGGTTCCCCCGATGAATTAAAGAACATGTTTTGAGTGCTGTAAAATTTAGCTGTAATCACAGATTGAAGGATTTCAGTTTCTGCTAATCCTTTTGGAGCCTTCTGATTTGATTCAACAATAGTAAAATTAGGGCTGAATGCTAAGTGTTCTAAATCAAGGATCCGTTCTGAAGACAGAAGCAAAGACAGAAGCAAAGAGGGAAGAGCCAAACTTCCATTTCCTCTCCACAGGCTGCTGTGAGGCAGGTCCAGCCTGAGAGCAGCTGGAGGGTTTGGGCTGGCACGAGTCCTCATGCCTACTTAGGGTCTGGCTTTTAGGAGACCCTAAAAAATAATCATTGAACAAAGTAAATACTGCTGAATGAAGTCTAGTTCTTCGGGGGCCTAACATGCCAGCTAATTAACATGTCCTGTCTCTCCTGCCACTGAGTGGATAAGAAAAGAAGGCTGGATAGAATGAGCCATTCATTATATGCACTCAGGACTGTAAAATTTGCCTAATAATGTGAAACTCCTCAGATCCGTCACACGATCACTGAGCCAGCACCCGACAGGCTGAGTGTCTTTGAGGAGAGTGATACCACGTTACTCACGTTGGTATCACCAGCACCCAGCACACTGTCTGACACACAGTAAGGACTCAGTAAATGTCTGTTTAATCAATCACTTAATTAATCTCTGAATGAGTCAACAAATAAATTACTTAATAAGCCAGGATTTCTCTCTAGGGCCTAAGCAGCAAGAATAAAGAAATTGAATATAATTCTGCTTTCTGTTAAGACATCAAAAGAAACGCTGTGTCAACCAAAGGAGAGTAGAGAGTTTGGAAGTACAGACAGAAGACCAGTAAAAGGTAGTGGGACTCTGACAGTATCCCCACGTGATCACCCCCAAGTGATCACAGACTGTCCCTGATTCCGAATATTTCAATATAATGTTATATTATACAGAATATTGATTAAAAAAAAACCAGGAAACCAACCTGGTTTGCTTTAGGCTACAAGTTTGCACCTGCCTTCTGTGGGCTGTGGGTCCACTGTCAGTGCAGTTTTCAAAGACTTTGCAGAGCTATCAGAGTTTACTGCACATGTGCCTTGTTGAGGGGCAAGGCTTGGACCGAGGCGGTGCTCTATCCCGCAGTTCACATCTCAAAACTCCAGTGCACTGAATAGTGTCAGATCCATTCCTGCAAAACTCAGGGGGGAGCCCAGGAGTTCATATTCAGTTTTGTGTGACTACTTCCTTGAGCTCCTCCCTCTCCACAGTCTCCCTGAAACTTTCTAGCTCCCAGCCTGTCTCATCCCTTCCTGGTCCTGCAGGCAAAACCCTGAGGCTTTAGTTTTTATCTCTGTTCCACATGCTGTTTCTCAGCTGGATTGTCTTGGGAGCCAAGTGGGGAGAGAGACTAGAGGAAGGAAAAGAGCAACAGGGAGTTTCCCCATACTTCAGGGACACAGTTCCTTTGGTCACAGAAAAAGGTTCCCACCCAAAAGCCACCAAGGCCTTTTCCACCACCATCTCTGTGGGACTGCACTGGGGACTTGCATAGAAAAACAAACAAATAAAAAACAAAAGTGGGATTTCCCACACGCCCCCTGACTTGTAGGGTGCCGCTTTCCACTCCTCAGACCAGAAAGGAGGGCTTCTCTCAGAGCTCTGTCTGTCTGTCTCTCCTGGAACTGTGCACACTTCCACATTTAGGGACACCTTCACGTCTAGGCCTGGAGACTGTGCAAGAAAAGAGCCACAATTCTCAGGCATGGCTCTATAGTGTTTTGAATTCTGGTTTCCTTCCCCAATCTACCTGTTACCACTTACTTTTCAGAATCATCAGAAAGCTGCTCCAGTCATGCCACTCAGGGTTCTTAGCTGCACCCAGTGGGAGAGAAACACGGTGGAGACGGCTTACTCCATCTTGACTTGACCAGAACTTTTCCCATGCACTTTTATTAGATGATGAAAGGACACAAGATTGCTTATTGGAATTGCGTGGTCCACTGGCAGATTTTGTTGTAAATTGGCACTGATGTTTAGTTTTGTTTAGCGCCGTTCTACGAAGCCGTGACTGCACTGATAAACTGATTTGACAATCTGAAGACCAGACCTGGTTTTGGTGACACCCTTGGAGACATCCTGTCACATATCAGGCCTCATTCGTATTCTTAATATGTACTAATAGTGCCAGTGACATGTCAGATGCTGTGGTAGGTACAAGGGCTACCTCTGAATGGCACAGAATCTTTACCCTCAGGGAGCCCACAGTGTACCAGGAATCAGCCATAGCTCACCACCAGTGCCACAAGAGAACGAAGCAGAGCCTACAGTCTAGACCAGAGACAAATAAGTAAACCGGCAATTTCTTCATAGGATGTTTAGTGCATGGTAAGCATTGGCACCACTGCTACAGAAGAACAGAACAAACCTTAATTCTGAACTGGAGGAGGGTCACTAGCAGCTTCTGAGTGGAGATGAGTCCTAGACACACACAAATTAATCAGTAGAAAATCTGCAAGAAAGTATGTTCCAGGTGTATGGAGTGAAATGCAGAGGCCCAGATACAGGAAAGAAGAGTTTATTACATGGCCGCAGGAAGTTCCAAATAGCCGGTACATAGGATAGAATGGATCAGAATACAGAGGCAAATAGAGAGCAGGATACAAAAGGTCTTAAAGGTCAGGACATAATATTTAGGATATTATTTGGTTATCAACTGAATGGTCTTAATAGAAAACTAACAAAATCAGTTCTGTGCTTTAGAAAGTCTACTCATTATGTATCTACACTGGAAATACACAGATTTGAGTGGGGCAAGATTATAGGCAGTAAGATCTGTTAGGAGGCTGTTGCAGTAACCCAAGCAAAAAATTGTCAAGACATTTTGAAACTAGTAAAAATAAATCATGTTACATCGATACAATGGAACACTATACAGCCAGTAAAATTAGTCTAGCATCTCTACGTTTTTTTAAAGGAATGATCAGGAACTCAGAAAGAAGTCTGATATCTGAAATAGCTCCAGTCAGTCAGCTGGTCATGTCAGTTCTATTTTCACAGTGTGTGCTGAATCTGAACACTTCTCACCATCATGACCATCACCCTGCTCTAAGCCACCAATATCTCTTGCCTGGTCAATTACATTGGCCAATGACTGACCTCCCCATTTAACGTGTCAGACAGCACTTTTGAGCCACACCTCCACCAACCTATTTCTCACACTCAATGTCTAATCCATCTAGTTGCTTAAAAATGAAAACCTGAGTTAATCCTTGATGCTCCTTTTTCCTTAACATCTCACATCCAATCCATTAGCATATCCTATTCTTCCTGCTTTCAAAGTATAATTAGAACCCTACCCTGGACTAACCCACCATCATCTCTTAACAACCTATTTCATTTTTCTCTAGGTTTCCCTACTCTCATTCTATTTTCTATTCTTAACGTAAAAATTTTTAAATGAAAATAAGATCAGGAGCAGCCAGAAGTAACAAGCACTCCATGTTTGTTTAATCAATAACTCATACCAAATGTTAGTTCTTTAATGAAACATTCCCCAGATCCCTTCTTTGGAAGGAGTCTCTCCCTCTTTGGACCTCTATAGATTTTAACTCCACATCTATTATGGATTTATCACCTTCTATCTTTCACTATAGTTATACAATTTATCTCTATTACTGAATAAGTTTCTTCTTATGTGTGGAATTCATGTCCAATTCATCTTTGTGTTTCCCTGGATCATCATACACAGACCTTTATGTATACTCAGATTCCAATAAGTTTATTTAACTAACTATGAATGGAACTTAAACATTATAGTTCAGAATTTCCAAATAGGTCAGTTTATGGAGCCAATGTCCTGTGAAGCTGGAAGTGGTGGGTGATAAATCCAAATAGATAAGTTGAGGCAAGACGGTAGGGGATCTATTTGCTCAGCTAAGAATACTTTATAATTTGGAGACTGGAGATTTGTTGTTGGTTTCTAAATCAAGGAGGTATAATATCACAGCTAAATACTTGGGAGATTAATCTGTCCTTAAGATAAATGTTGTGGTACAGAAATAGAGTGCTTTCCTACATCGAGCCCCAGAGTTTGGTAACAGAGGAAGTGAATCTTGTTACTGTTGGGAATTCAGGTCTTTCTTTAAGGTCTTGGGGGGAAGAAATCTAGAAATCGAAGACAACTATTAGGCATACCATGTTGGCACCTGTATCTTAATATTTCCTCTGGTTCTAACTCTGATCCATTACTCCAAGAGTAATTATTCAGAATCCATAGGTGTGGCTATAGTAAAATTAAATCTGAAAGTTAATCCCTAATTTGTTTTCCAACAGGTTCTCTGACTCTGAGAACACATCATGTTCAAGACTCGAAAATGGGATTTGTGATCAATGCGATCTATTCCATGGCCTACGGGCTCCACAACATGCAGATGTCCCTCTGCCCGGGCTACGCGGGCCTCTGTGATGCGATGAAGCCAATCGATGGACGGAAGCTTTTGGACTCCCTGATGAAAACCAATTTTACTGGGGTTTCCGGAGACATGATCCTATTTGATGAGAACGGAGATTCTCCAGGAAGGTATTGTCACAAATCTCCTCTAGACCATAGAACCTGATCGAGCCCTCTCTCCATCATGAGGAGCCTGTTTCTCTCCTTGGTGGTTTCTAGGCTCCTGGCCATGTTTGGCTAGCTCTGACATCCCGAAGTGAGTAAAGACAGACAAAGGAAGCCCCACTTCCTGTGGCCAGGAAGAGGTACTAATGCTGATGTCCAAAATGTACCCCTGGAATCACCACTGCATTCCAGAGACCCAAGCTTAGGAGCAGGAGCCTCACACTGTCATAGATGATTAAAAGCCAACGCTATGGTTTCCCTGTACATGTTTGCCGTGTTACTCCCTGTATCCTGATCTCTTCCTGGGTCCTAGAACTATTTTGAAACAGGAACAATTCCGTGTCCAGCAATCCAGAAACAGGGCTGTTTGTTGTACCTACAGTAATTTACAAATCTTATTTTATTTTAGTATCCTCCAGCTGGAACACTTTCTCCCTTCTTGAGGACTAAATTGCCTTCTTCTCTGAAACTTTACCTTTCATTATTTATAGAGAGAAGCCTAAGAAATATGAACTTACTCATAATTATAGGTCAGCCTCCAGGGAAGTCATTAAGTACCCAGAACTTACCAGCATTCACATTTATCTCAGACTCTAAACTCTTAAGTGATTCTTCACATGAGACTTTAAACCCACGAGAGATAATTTCATTGAAATGACATTCTAAGTTGTTGCAAGGCTGGGTCTTCACTCTGCCTTGTGTTAGAACAGTCAACGTCCTTTGGTGTCCCACTGTAAAATCCCAGGTATTCTCCCAGCAAGAGCTTGACAGGTGTGCCTGGAAAGGGTGTGTTTCTACTCTGTTTGCAGCTGACTCTGCCAAGAGAAGGTCCCATGATCCCTGCGTGACTCACATGCCATGTGCCCACACATTGCACCAGCCACCACGGTCTAGCTTGTTTCCATGTTCCTGGTGTGAGCTGGAGTTTGTCCCTTATGCAGCTGTTAGTATCTCACAAGCTGAGCTTCTAAGTGACAGCTAGTTCCAAGCCAGGCAGCCAAGAGGAAAGCTGAATATTTCCTCTGTTCTGGAGAGTTTAAGAGTATTGCTCCAACCAGGCTGTTTGCCAAGATAAGACTTTTCGTATATAGTTTTCTACTTTTTGGCTATTCAGTATATTCATGGGAGGGGACATGGAATACAAGCACTTTCCCAGGGCCAAAGAGAGCTGCACATTTGTTGTAAGGCTTCTTCGGGCAGGTCAACTAACGTGCTCAGTCTTTAGGCTCAGGTCAAGACCCAGCTCTTTTATCTGCATACGGGTTTATTATCTGTGCATTCCTAGAGCACTGACGTCAGCTTGGGATTTGTTCATAAACTTGGTTGACTGTAGCTCCATCAGTTCAAATAATTTTCATGTCCTGTACCCAAGTTAGTTCTGCAAGCCAGAGAGTGAAGAAATGACTCAGATGGCTCAGCTCTATTCCAGGGGGAAACCTTAATAGATCAGACAGAACATCACTATCTTGTTGACAATCCTCCAAAGATGATGGGATTGGGTACATTTAGGACATTGGTTCTTAACCATTTTTTGGAACACGAATCTCTTTAAGACTTAGATGAAATTTATAAATATTCTCTAAAAGACAACATACATAAATTTTGCAAACAATTTCTGGGAACTCATAGTTGTTTACAGACTTTTCATGCATTTTCTAAGATTGGATATTACACTAACTCATTAATAAATGATCAGAATTGGCCTCTGAGGGCATGAGCCATACTCAAGAAAAGGTGGCTTGCATCTTATTTGTTTTTCCAATTAATCCAGTTATAGTTACAAAATAATTATAACTGGTATCTATTGAGTGTGTATTCTGAGCCAAGCACTTACCTAAATCCTCTGTATTTTAATCCTAGGAGATATGTAATATCATCATTCTGTTTTCCAGCTCAAGGCTCAGAAACTGAGGCTTGCCAAAGTGAAATGACTTGCCCAAAGACACAATCTAAGACACATGATGCAATCGAGATTCTAACTTAATCTCCGGGACTTCAACTCCTAACCTTGTTCAACAGCTGCCAATTACAGCATCAAAATCAAAAAGGCCCCTGCTCTCTGAGAACTCTATGTTTAGGCACTATGTTGCTATTTCTCTGGAGTAAAAGTTACTCAGCTGAATCAAAGACATTCCAACCTGGGCCATGAACCTGAGGAGACTAGGGTCACAAGAGGTTCCCCTAAAATGCCAGAGTCACAAGAGGAAGCTCCTAACCAGAGGAAGCTGGGAAAGGTGGCAACTTACTCCAGCACACGTACCTGTGGCTTGCTAGAGAGCCCAATTTAACCATCATTTTTAAACCTCACATCTAATTAGACTACTATCAGCCCCCAATTCTTTAATGAAACCCTTGGTGCCAAAGTGTGTTACAGAATTCTGAATTTTTATTATTACAAAATGTTATACGGTCATGTAACACCTCCAGCATGCTGTGGGGCAGCAATTCTTAATCCACGCGTTGCCACTTCTGCTATAAGACGTATCAATATTTGCATGTATGATGAATAGGGTATAAACAGTCTCCTGACAGTGATGGTGAAGTTCTCTTACTGGTTTAGTTCAGAATGGCTCATGGTTTGCAGCCAAGGGAGTTATGAAAAAAAAAAAACTTTAGGGTTTTCAGAGCTCTAAGGATTTCAGGATTATAGGTAAGAAATATGAACCTTTACCATTTACCACTGATGGGATCCATCACAGGTCGGCCAACTATGGTCCGCAGGCCAAATCGGGGGTGCTATCTATTTTTGTAAACAAGGTTTTATTGGGACACAGTCACACTCATCTACACAGATACTGTCTGTGGCTGTTTCACACTACGCAGCCAACAGGGTTGAGTAGTTTCAACAGAGACCATCTCACAAAGCCCAAAACATTTACTGTCTGCTCCTTTATAGCAAATGTCTCCTGACTCCTGATTTACAGAGAGTCCTTTGAGAGCTAAGATTTGAGAGGCCTTGCTGCTGCCCGGGACTGACCATAATTGGGCAGAGGAAACATGCAGAGTAAACATCAAACTACGTAAATTAACTATTTAAGGCAAAAATGTTAACATTACATTGTTTATAAGTATGGGGATGTAAAATATTTGACAACATGGCATATAGGAATGGGGTATAAAATTATGCAGGGCAAGGTTCTTCTGTTTTACATTAAGTGACACAACATTACTCTAAGTAGAGTAAGATAAGAATGCATATTAAATCCCTTGAGCAACTAAAATTTTAATACAAGAGAAAGAGCTAAAAAGCCAAAAGAGAAATACTAAAAGAAAAAAAATGTTTAATCCAAAATAAGGCAGGAAAAGAGGGGCAAAAACAGATGTGACAAGTAGAAAATAAGGCTGGACCACTAGAAATTGGCAGATACTAAGCTGGTTTGCACACAGATTCTTAATATGTGACTCTATCCGCAGGAAGACTTCAAAAAGCACCTTAGCCTCAGATCATAGACTGAGAGGACTATTCGGGCCATTTAAATCTAATACCTTCCACAGCTCCCTCCCCCAAATGATGTTCCAGTTCCCCTGACAACAACCTTGCTTCAGCCCATTAGGTAAAGAGATCCTCACTATCTCCTGCGCAACCCTGCTCTGACTTTCAGAGTGAGAACCACTTAGGCAGTTCTTTAGTTCTGTTCAACTGAACCCTTTTCTATTCAGTTTCTATTCAGTGCTTTAACAGAGCTTTTTTTTCTTTTTGGTTACAATACATTTTATCTGTTTTATTTTGTTTTTGAACACTGTAGAAAATTGAAACAGATTTTCAGCATATTTCAACAATAACTGTGGCCAGTTAAGGAAGAGACAGACATGGGGAAGCAGAGAGAAAGGTGGAAGAAGTAAGAGGTATTAAAGAGGACAGATTACACATACCCACACACATGCCCACATGCAGTGATGAGAGAGGAGATCCAGAAGAAGAGATGTAGAAACAAACCAAGAGGCTCAAAGAAAGAGGGTGAGAGAGCAAGAGGGCAACAGCAAGAACAGGAATGAGAGAAGAGGGGAGGGTATAGCTCAGTGGTAGAGTGTGTGCTTAGCATGCACAAGGTCCTGGGTTCAATCCCCATGACCTCTGTTTAAAAATAAATACATACATACATACATGTAAACCTAATTACCTCCCCCCAAAAAAGACAATGTAAAATGAATAAATATGGAAAAAAGAAAGTATTGCTTTATTTAAAAAAAAAGGAATGTGAGAGAATTAAACGATGGGTAACAAACGCAGGAAGCCATCATGTGCTTTAATTCTTCCCTACAATTTAAATAAGCTTATTTTTCAAACACTCACTTACTCTCACTTTTGATGGAGAATAAAATCTATATCCTATCTCTGAAAGTTCAAAGAATTCATATCAATTGACAAGAAAAGAGGAAAGGAATCTTCTTTTATGGAGAATTATTCTTAGCCGTTTCTTTTTTAATGCACTGCTACCAAAGATTTTTACAATAATGTTTTTTCACTGCTATAACTGCTAGTGATAATGTCTCTGTTGTTGTCTGGTAGGTAAGAAATAATTACCAGAAATCTAAAGGCTAATCCCATTATCTCTAATAAATTTGGAGTAGGTTGACTGGTTTGAACCAAAATTAAGGTTTAACTTTTCTTGAAATCACTTCCCTGTCAAATATGACATTTTCCATTCTATTGAGTTATCATAGTTATTTTTCAAAAACTGGATCCCTTGACTTCTTACTATTCCACCTATATCGAACAGATGTCTGCAATGGTTAAGCAGTGGAAATCGATCTCCTAGCTCTGTCGAGTACATCTGGAGCAGTCTCATGGAGAAGAACGAACAGCAGACTTAACATCTAAGGGCTGAGTTTAGACTTGCATACTCTCCAATCTGATATCATTCATTACCTCACCCAGATTCAGTTCCATCTTCTATAAAATTAACAGTGTGGACTAGACGGTGTCAAAGTAAACAACTGGTAGAAATGGGTTGATGGCTCATTTGGGGGTGAGCCATGAATCCTTCTTCATATGTCTTCAAATCAGTAGCAGCAAAGAAAAGACCTTCCTGACACTGTCAGTTCTTTCTTCCTCCCAGCCTAGAATACTCAAAGGATATTTGTCCACAGGCAGTCACCTCTGGAAGCCTTAGACGCCCATGGAGCCCATTTGAAGTGGCCAATGACATAATATATGAGTTCCTTTTACCCTAGTGCTCTAATGTCTCAACTCAGTGCATGTTTAGGAGCCACTGGCTATCTGTGACAGAATGGAATGGTGCCGAACGCCGTTCTGTGTCCCACAGATTGGTACTTTTGATGTAGAAGTGGAATTTAGGCAGTTACTCAAAATTGTTACCGACTGCAAATAAAACACTGTCAGATAATCCTTATACCACTGAAGAGCCAACCAAACTATGAACAAGTTGACATTCTGGAGAAGACACCACAGTAAAAACTGTGATTAGGAGTGAAAACAGAATGGTATCATTTTACAATGGAGGTCCAAACATTGGTGTCTGGTTTGTTCTTAGCGCTTTTGTGCTGAGCATTGGTCTGAGTACGGCAAGCTAGTCACTTGAACTCCAAGACCAGAAAGGTTTCTATACATGTTAATTTTCAGACAGCTAAATATGCTGAGCATGGAGATTCGAGGAGCCACTTACAAGAGCCCATCTACCAATCCTTTAAAAGTCTTAGGAAGTAAAACATAGGGCACTGTGTGAAGACATTGAACACCTAGGACATATGTACAGAGATGACTATAGGAGTTGACAGTGGGGGTATCGCTCATCCGATGTCCTCAGATTGGAAAATTATGTCAGAAGGGCTTCTCTGCAAATGTTTTTATATGTAAGAAAAATCTTGTAAATAATCACATTACTTTTCCCTCTTTACATCTCCATCCTTCTACTCAAAATAATAATAGACAATGAAGGCTGAGAACTCACAAGGTCCTAGTGTTTTCTAGCATTTTTACACTGCATGAGATGCTTTAGAAGCTTTTCGGAATTATTTTAAACATTGCTCCTGAAAGTACCTTTATACAATGAGTTTAACCACTGATAAAGGGCAAAATAAGAAAGATAAAGTCAGGCCCTACCCAAATTACCGCCACGTTCCCTACAGCTGAAGACAAGATGAAAGGTTTACCAAATTTCTCACTTGGTTGGCAAAGGAAAATGTATCATTTTATTGGGGTGGAGACGAAAACTTTGCTGTCTTTTTTGGAAGCCTAACAGTGGTTCTTATTTAAACTACTTGAAGTTATTTCAGAACTGTCTTTCATCCTGCTGAGGTCAAGTCACCTTCTCACATGGGATCATTTTCTATTTCAGGTGTAAGCCTGAAAGTTTAAAAAAAAAAGTCTCTGATGAGAAAGTGAAACTGACAGGGTTTTTGTTATTCTAAGTGTACTGTCATGGAGAATTCCGGTGTCACTAATATATTAGACGACAGGTACACTGGAGGACTGAAGTCTACTGCTTTTTCATAGCTGAATATTTATACTTTTAGCTGAATGATTATTATATTCTTGTTCCCAAGGTACGAAATAATGAATTTCAAGGAAATGGGAAAAGATTATTTTGATTACATCAATGTTGGAAGCTGGGACAATGGAGAATTAAAAATGGATGATGATGAAGTGTGGTCCAAGAAAAGCCACATCATCAGATCCGTGTGCAGTGAACCCTGTGAGAAAGGCCAGATAAAGGTAAAACGGAGTCTGTGATGCTTTCATTTTTGTTGTAAATTCAAAAGCATTGTCATTTTTAAAAAGTTGCTATATTTGTTTTACCTTTTCCACTGTAGGCTTCTAATGTCAGGAAAAAAATTTTAAGTTTTTTTCTCACTAATTACGATACCTAGTAAGACCCACAATGGTCTCAGTAGTTGGACTCACCTACTGGGGTATTGGGAAAATTTAATTTAAAATGTGCATGAGTGCAGTTCGAAACCACTTGAGGAGTCATGCTCGCTCCCTTTCTACTCATGGAAGCCTTTAAAGACATGCTTCCTGGAAATAAATAATTCACAGTTGGAAATCACATCAATTTCTAATGAACTTAACAAATATTTATCAAACCCCTACTAATGGAATAGTTTACATTGATGGGGCAAAAGTAAACAAGACACATTTACTATCAGAAGATTTATTGTCTGTTCTGGAATAACAGTGAATAATCCAGGGTGTGTTGCTCTAGATGGTTATTTTAAAAGAGAAAGCTGAAATGATAGGTTGAAGCCATATTTGTGGAGAGTTTTGTATGCCATGTTAAACAGGTTGAACTTAAGTTTTATTAGCCAGGAGTCTGAGAATACTTTTGACCGAAATGTTGACATAAGCTGGACTACAGCAGGTGAAGATTCATGAGTAAAGTTATGAATAAAGAAAGAAGAGACAAGTTAGAAGGATGCTGTGATAGTGGTAACAAGGGCCCCAAATTACAGAAGAAACAGTGAGAATGGAAAGCGGGCAGGGGACGTATTTGAGAAAAACATTACAGCGGTAGCTGCAATCAGCCCTGGCCACCAACCACAAGGGCTGAAATATTCACTATGGGCCTTTGCAGAAAAAGGTTGCTGACTCTTAATATCCAGTGACAGTCTGCATCTTGGCCAATCATCCTGAAGTTAAACTCTTCATGTGAAATTCTTTTTTGACTCATTCAGAATACCAGTTGTTCATAATTTTCAGTTCTTCCTGTGGAAAAATTAGCTTGTGTAAATTACCACATGGAAGTTGTCTGTTTTGACCCTTCACAGCAATGCAGTGTGAACCTGTAACTTCAAAAGGTTGAATGTCTGTTTCAAAAGATTTCTTTACATATACTTTTCTACCCACTTCTCCTGGGAATAACTTACTGAATTCCTAGGAAGCATTTGATTCCCTATTATCGTATTTTTAATACTAGCTAATTTGTAATAATGTTTATATAGTCTTTTTTTTAATCCAGAGTTGTTTTCCTAACCAGATCTCATTTTCATTCCATTAAATGTACAATTGGCTACATTTTCTTAATATGGTTTAAGATTGTCACTGAACGACTTCATGAATGATATCCACACCTCATGGCATTTGTTCAGCTTTGTTAACTTAGTGTCCATGAAAGAACACGTAGTCTGGCAAAAAAGTTCAAATGTATTTCACATTGTTATTCATAAAGAAAGCACCACTATGGCTAGGGTGTCCAGAAAGAATGGAAATCACTCTGAAAGAGAACTGTCACCACCTCTTCTATTCAAAATGAGTATGAAACAGAGCATATATAGCGAGTGAAAAAAAGTAAAACAAATCAGCTCTGAATGATCAGAAGAAGACACATTAAGTTGTCACTATTGATTCCAAAACATGATTGTAATATTGGAATTAATCTTGAAAAAGGGCATGAGCTTATTCTGGTAAAAATCCGAAATCCACAAACCAATGAGCATTGAATCACAGAAAGTCAGCGCACATCTAAGAGAAAAAAATGCAGCTGCTTTTGTTTGCTGGGCCTGCTAAGAAAGCAGCATAGGAAATGTGCTGCTTGTACGACAAAAATCTAGGAATTGTCCAGTGACAGTTTTACCAAGTGTAGCTGAAATTACCCTGAAAATGAAATTCATTTCTCTATATGGATATTTACATACATATATATATATATACTCTATTAAAATAGTTAATATGCACTATTAAAACAGTTAATATTTAGAGTTAATATTTAGTATAATACTATTAAAATAGTTAATATTTTAGAGAAGTTTACAAATCATTGTGATATTCTATTTAATCCTCAGGAAACTCTATAAAGGTAGGTGTTATCTAAAAAAGTATTAGTCCCGGTTTCAAAAAATAGGATCAGCTGGGAGATAGCTCAAGGCTGCACAATCATCTGGTGGCTGTAGGTAGGACTAGAACCCCGGTGCCCCTTGATTCCCCAGCCAGTATTCTTTTCTTTACATCTTTTAAAATATCATGAACTCTGTGCAGACCAATAAGGCTCACTATTTATGAGCATGGCCTCCAAGTACAACAAGGTTTGTTTGATTCCTCCTTTACCCAGTGCTATATGAACTCACTAAGCCTTCATTTTCTTCCCTAAAAAAAAATGAATAAAATACAACCAGTTACTTTATACAGAGTGGTTTCAATGTTTTAATGAGACAACAGCATAGGGCATGCACTAAATCACCAGTAAAGAGTCCGTATTATTAGGAAGAATGCTTTAGATAGATGGAGCAGGTCTAATTAGCAATGTTGCCTCATTTATCTGTTTATTTTTGGGAAAGGACGTTTCAAGCCCTTTTGTCATCATTCCCTACTTGTATTGTCATAGTGTCAGGAGTCAGCACAAAGGGTAGTATAAAATATAAGAAAGGGCTGGCAGCCTACAACTGTACTTGGCTGTGGATATCTAGACATTATTATCAGAGGTCGTTAACAAAGTCAGCATCTAAGGCGAGGACTGTGAAGTGTAATCATTGCTGTGTCTGGTTACTGCTGGCTATTAATCACAGTTCTAATTATTTATAGGAATGTTTAATGAACGCTGTCTCTATTCCAGAGAGGCTATTCATGAGCCAGTGGTGGAAAAAACATAAGAAACATCCATTCCTAAAGAATAACATCTGGGACTCTTTCAACTGTTAAATTATTTCATTCATTTTCCATCGCCTTAAAAAAACCAGACAGACAAAGAGGTGCCTGATAGACTCAGTGACCTTACCCACCTTCATCCCAAGCAAGTCAAAACTACCAGAACAGGAAGCAACGGGCTGAATTTTTGAACCAGGTTTTTCACAGAAACAGTCTGAGAGATGATTTCCAGAAAACAACTTCATCTTCTGCCTCTTAATTCAAAGCAAATTTCTAGTTATTTTTATTCATATGGGCAGCAGATATACCATGTTTTTTCTTTTAGTTAACAGTTATTCAACTAGTGGAAGGAGGCCAAGGTAAATCCAGAGAGCAAAAGTTCTTTATTTGAGGCAAAGAAAGGCACAGAATGGGAAAAATTCAGTTACAGCCACACAAGGAAATGTACATGTATTAACATATGAGTACAGACACGGACACTTGAACAAGTTCAAGTACCTAAAACTAACTATCCGAAGACTTGCCCTCAATTTCATTCTTGGCCCTGTCACCGACTGATTTTATGATGTTTGACTGGTTGCTGAAGCTCAGCCTGTTGCTTTAATTATAAAGTGAGAATATTAATCCTCACACGGCCTATCTGGAAACATTGGAAAGTGTTTCCGTGAAAACCCTTTCTGCTTTGTAAAGCAGGACGTTTGGATAATGCTGCATTTTTATCTACGTGAAAAGAATGATTAAAATGTTGACTATTTGCCTTAGGTGATCCGGAAGGGAGAAGTCAGCTGTTGCTGGACCTGCACACCTTGTAAAGAGAACGAGTATGTGTTCGATGAGTACACCTGCAAGGCATGCCAGCTGGGGTCCTGGCCCACTGATGACCTCACAGGTACATGCATCACAAAGTCAGCACGGGTACACCCCTCAAAAGCCATCTCAAAAAGTTGATCTGAGGAGGGGTCACATCCCCATGCATTCCCCATCTTGGTGGCATCGTTTATGCAACAGAGAATTCCCTTACAAACAGAAGCCTTCCCAACACCTGGGCTAATCACGAAAATCTTTCGATCTCAGGGAGAAATCAGCCTATATCCCTGCCCCCACCACCAAACTCAGTTAAGAGTCCCCAGTTTTTCTACCGGGCATTTTCAGTCAATCCTCCGGATATTCCCAGAAAGTCCTGAGCAAGGTCCCAATTAACTGCGATTTGAGGTGGAGAGAGAGAGAAGTCTTAGCCAGAAAGAGACTAAAAGATGTCACCACGTATCCAAGAACGAAAAGGTAGCACAGAATTAGGTGGAAGTTGGTCTAAAACTCTTCGTTTCTCTTAGTGCTTTTCCTTAATCTAAACCAGAAAACTCTAACTAATGAGTTTCTAAATAATGTCAACACAGGGCAAGACTCACCTCTGCTTGGTCTTTGGTGGTGTTTTTGGGGTTTGGGTTTTGTGTTGCTTTGGTTTAGGAGTTTTTTTTTTCTTCTTCTTCTTCCAAAAATGTTAAGAACCTATGTCGTTGTGTTCTCAAGATACTTCATCACTACTTCTAAACTTTACAGTATGAAAACAGAATAGGGTATCTTCCATCTTGGCTTCCAATGTGTTCAATAAATGTTTATTAAATGCATATTCTGGGCCCATTTGCCTACCACTGAAATAAAGGTACAGGAATAAAGTTATGAATTCTTTCTTCAAAAAGTTAATGAGGAAGGGAAAAATTTTAAATATGATTACAATAATCATAATAAATAATAAATAATAAAAGGGCACAGACGTGTGGACATGGGATGAGGAGGGGACCTATGAGGCTAAGTTTTCAAGGAAAACAAGAGAAAAGGACATTCCAGGCAGAGGCCCCACCACGTGGTATGTCAGGTCATCTAGTGGTTTTACAATTAAGATGGATTTCGCACAAGCTCCTAGAGGCTAGAAGATTATAACATCATCATTGTTAGACTCCATCCCCATAGGACAAGAGATTATCCATGGTAGATGGATTAACTGATTCCAAAGGCCTGGTTCTAAAAATCCTGCGATTCTGGGCCTTTTGAGTCCAGTTCACATCATCAGACTTTTGTTTTCAGTGACTGGTGTTTATGCAGCACTTTCCTTTTCTTAAAAAAATTAAAAATTCTGATTTAATAAAACACCCAGGTGCCTTGTGATAGCATTTGAATCCTATTTTCACTGTTAGACGATGAGCTTTCTGAGACTCTTATACATCCTGATATCCCCAGTCACCTGAGTGCCGAACATAAAGCCTTCAATAAATTTAGTTAAACATATGATCTACAGCACATGTGCACACATACAGTAAAACTGTCAGAAAGGAAAAAAAATATGATTGGTTCCCTTGTGAAGGGGACGAAGAGCAGTGTTGGTGGTCTTTTTCTTTACATTATTTCTTTACCTTTTTCTAATTTCTAATTTCAACAGGAATTATCATTAGATTGAAAACCTATCTTACAGATTCAATTATCTATGAGGCTAAGTACCTTGAATGTGAATATACTGATGTAATATTTCTGCCTTAGGTTTTGTAAAAACTGTGCAGCTGACAATGAACATGGACTGCTTTTTCATTCACTCAACAGAAAAGCATTTTCTTGTTACTATTTGCACTATAATAATAGGTGTTGGAAAAATTGGGGTTAAAAAGCAGACATGTTTCTTAAGTAATTTACCATCTTGTTGGGAGAGAGACACACATGGACAAATTATGTTAAGTAATATGAAGCAAAAGAACAATAGTGAAAAATGAAACTATCAGGGAAGACATAATTTAAATTTGTGGTCATAAAAGATTTCTCTGAAGAAGTGAAAATTAGCTGAGACCTAAGTGATAAATAGAAACAGCTAGCTAAACATGGGGAGAAGGGCATTTCTGGCTGAGGGAAAAGCACATGTCAAGGTCTGTTTATGGATAAGCAAACAGAAAAATGGTATCAGAAGAGATGAGAAAGGTAGCAGGGGTTATATGACATACAGCCTTGTAGCACATGCTCAGGATTTGAACACTTATTATTAAGCACAACGAGAAACCTTTGCAGGGAGCGTAATAGAAGAAAAAAAAACATGATCAGATGTACATTTTTAAAATATCGTTCTTCTTTTAAAAAAAAAGATACAAATTTTATTTGCAAACCAGAAATAGACTCATGGACATAGAAAGCAAACTGTGGTTACTAGGTGGGGAAAGATGGGAGCAGGGATGGTTTGAGAGTTTGGGACTGACAGATAGACATTACTGTACATAGAATGAATAAACAACAAGGACCTGCTGTATAGCACAGGGAACTACATTCAATTTCTCGTAATGAGTTGTAATGGAAAAGAATCTGAAAAAAATATATATGGATAGATATGTATAGCTGAATTGCATTGCTATACTCGTGAAACTAACATTGTAAATCAACTATACTTCAATAAAAAGTAAGAATTAATATAAAATATAAAATAAAATACCGTTCTGGTTGCTGTGAGGGAGAATAATTTGGAGAGGCATGGAAAGTGGGAGCGGGGAGATGGGTTGGGTGGTTACTGCAGGTTCCCACTGCAGGCACCAAGAGTTCTTGGTGTCTTGGGCTAAACAGCGCATTGGATGATTTTGAGGTACACTTTGGAGTAGAATCAACAGGATGTATGGATGGATTGGTTGCAGTAGATATTAAGTCAGGCTACCAAAAATTTTCTGCCTTGAGGATTGGCGAAATAAATGTATTATTTGAAAGATCAATAGTTTGGGTTTAGAAGATCAGCTTGAGATTTTCAAGTATGAACTAATTAATTGAACAGATTAAGGGCTTAGTTTGTGCCAGAGAATTTAATAGAAACTAGAAGTACAAAATTTAGTCTCAGTTTCCAAGAACCATCCAATCTAGTGGGAGAAAAGCCTGTAAACCAGTAATCATTGCAGTGGACTGAGTGCTGTAGATGAGAAATGAGCAAAGTATTATGGAAAAACAGAGGAGTGTATACCTAATCTTGGAGAAATTTGAGAAGGTTTAGTCTTGAGGCATAATCTTTACGCTCACCTAAGAAAAATGAAGACGATCATATTAGAAAGAGTGTGCAGCACTGAGGCTCTTAATGGCACCATCATTCTCCCAATTTCTCCAAACGAAAAGAAGCAAGTCATTCAGACTCTTCTCTCTTCCTGGCCACCCTTATCCAGTCACTTACTGAGTCTGGCTATTGGAATGGCTCAGTAGTCTTACCCTTCAGCTCTCTTCCATTTGTTTGTACAGCTTTTCCCCTGGCTAAGTTATCATCTCACCTTTGACTGTTGCAGGAATTTCCTGGTTTATTTCCCTTCTCCCAAACTTACGCCACATGCCTCTAACTGTGCTTTTCATTCTGCTACCAGATAACATATCAAGAATACATATTTGTCCCTTTTATTTCATTGCTCAACGTTTACCAGTGTTTTCATATCTCTGTGGGATACATCCAAGTTTTTCACACAGCATACAAAATTCCCTCTCTCCCTCACCCTCCTGTGACCTTTCTCACTTTATTCACCACCACTTTATAATTCTCATTTACATTCTAGTACCAGGGGCTGCTTGTAATTCTCATCTACACACATTCTGTTTTATTCCTCCATGTCCATACGTGTGTCACCTTTCCTGCCTGGAACGCACTTCCTCCTCTTCGTTTACTGGAATAATGCCTACTCACCTTCCGGCCTCTGCCCAGATGTCACCTTCTCTACGAAACCCTCTCTGTTGTACTTAGACTGATAAGTCCCCTATTTTAGATTTATATATTTTATATCTGCTTCTTTCTTTACATCATTTTCTGGATGTAAAAAACTGGATTTTAATGGCCTATATTCTTATCTGCCTCCCCTACTGAATCACTCTTCTCAAGGACACAACCATATCTCCACCATATTTGCATTCCTAGCATCTGACGCAAGCCTGACACAGACTAGGCACTGAGTAAATGTGTATCCATCTGCAGTAAAGGGTGGGGAGAGTTACAAACGAAGATGAAAGTCAGTATTAGGGCCATCCTCTGAAGACAGCCTTTAACAAAGGAGTTTGAACTTTGTCCTATAGACAGTGTGGGGCCAATGAAGGTTTTCAGGCAGAAGAGTGAAATGGTTTTCCTCTGGCTACATGCATACATGTGAGTGTGTGTGTGTGTGTACCTGGGGGTAAGGTGAAGAAGGTGGGAGGGGAGAAGGGGGAATAAATGCCAAACCTGGAAAGGTCTCCACATTGATATTATGTGAAGTTTAACCTTTAATTAAGATCCACAGCACTTTTCCAAAGAGCCTGTTGCTGTCTGCAACCTTATCCCATTGACTCTGATTCAAAGTAACTTGACACTTGGCACCGCTAGCTAAGCCAGAAGACTGCTCTTATGGCTTCAGCTATTCCAAAGCCTGCCGCAGAGATGCTTGGGGCTAACTTCAGAGGATACTGTGTAAGTTTCCCTTCTACCCACTTGGCTTACAGTTACCCCACTTCAGCCTACAGCAGAGGGCTCAGGTCACTTTGGGTCAGTGCTCTCATCATGCTAACAGCAGCAAGCACATATGTAATGCTTCCTGTGTGCCAGGAACCTTTTAAAGCATCTTACGAATGTTAATTCACTTCATCCCAACACAACTCTCTAGGACTGTGAGCACAGTTAAGAGACCTTAGAACTGAATAATTGTTTAGAAAAACAACTAGGAGTGGTGATCAACTGGCATTAATATCTATATATATATATATATATATAGCCATATACTTGTGTATCTTCATTAAAAAATATCTGAAATGAAGGTTGCCTACTGCTAAGAAAAGATGTTTTTGAGTGATGAGATAGTGGGTTACTTTTTTGCACACAGATAGATATATGTGTGTAAACATATATGCATATAATACTGAAATATATTA